AATATTTATTTCATTTTCAAATTCACATTCTAAAAATATAAATTGAGCAATACAAGACCTATCATTTTTTTATTAAAATTCTTATCAACTGACTATCAACTATCTATAAGCAATACAAAATCTTAAAAGATCCAAACTTTGCCAATCTATAAAAAGAGAATACAGCAGAACCTATCTATCTACTAAATAACATCTGCAAAGAAGTCAGAAAAAAACCCCCCATAGTTTCTCTTTCAAAATATTGTCAAGAAATATAATATAATATTTCTTTATATGTTAAAAAGATCATAAATCAGATTTAAATTTCTATGACTATCAAGAAGCTTATAATAGATCTTTTTAAAGACAGAAGTTATAGTATAATTTTTTCTAATAAACTCTCTAATTCAATAATAGCAAGGGAAAATATAGATTCAGAAGAAACAATATTTTCATTATTATGAAGAATTTTCTAGAATCTATTGTTATACAAAATTAAAAAAAAATGGCAATCTGGATTATTTTATAGAAAAAAAATAGTTATCCCATTTTAACAAATCTGAGAATAAAGTTAAGCTTTCTTTAAGGCAGGCGGTAATTGTCTAGATAGATAACATGACCTGGATTATCAAATCTAAAAAAGATTTGAAAAGAAACTTGGAAGAAACAAAAAAGTTCTAAATAGCAAATAATTATCAAATTAATATAGGAAGTCAATTCTTCTTACTATTAATTGGAATTCACAAGTTTTTGAAACTATTTAAGCTAAAATAGAGAGTACTATAGTTCATGAAATCAATAAAGAAAATTTGATCAGATTTCTTATTATCTAGCTAAAATCAAGGCAGAAGAACCAGAACATCATTAATCTGATAAAATTAGAAATTAGAATAGTAATTCAGATAATAATTAAGATAAAGTTAATAGAAAAACACATCCAATATATTATTAACAGGGTTCTAATCCCAAGAATAAAATATAGAATACAATATATATATCTAAATGAAAAGATATACAATGATCTTACACTTATGTTTAGAAAAGTATTCAAGAATAAGATCTTAGTCTGTGAAATAATTCTGAATAGTTGTATCTATAACAAAGAAATATATGGTCTCAAGAGTATCTGAAAAATACAACTAGAAAGTTATATATCCATACTTTTCTATCAACTTAATAATAATAAAGTCTTTGATATTACTACTATAATTAGATTGAAACAAAGTCAAATCAAATATTGGAAGTTTGATAATATTCTAGACAATTTTATTGACTTTTGTAAGCTGATTAAAGGAAATTTGACATTGGCAATATTGGCTCTAATAAAAAGTATACAAATTATCTTTCAAAGTTGGAAATGAAAGATAATCAGAGAAATATTTTATCTATTAAATCAATACTACAGGATAATAGAGAATATGAAAAAACTATTCAATTACTACAAAAGTATAAGATTATATTCCTAGATCAGCTCATTAATACTATCATGATAACACTTAAGGAATGGAAAGCAATTCAAATTCTTTTTAATATATACAAGAAACCAATCCTCTTCTGATGCAAAAAAGTTTATAAAAAGACAACAGTAAATCAAAATTTTAAATGAAACTTTCTATATGAACTTGAATAAACAGGTTATAATATATAAACTCAAATATTACTAACAAACCTAAATAGAAGAAAAATATATTAAGTAGTTTACAATTATACTATAACAGACATATTAGAAAAAATAATATTCATAAACAACAAATTCTATTTCACTCCATACCAGCTAATATATGATCCTGCTAGTAATTATATTATCTGCAATCAGATAGAACAATGTAATCATTAAAAGTAGTTTTATCACAAGTTAATAGAAAAAGATAAAGTGATTAAACAGTTTTCAGTAGAAGCATTCATATAACCATATACAATCAGGACCAAAATATTAACTATTTTTATTGCACTATACTGTATATAGCCTTCTGAAATATGACTGTCATAATTCACATGAATTGCAACATTGCAGTCAAAGTATAAATATCTATCAATTCATAAATAGAGATACAGTATTAACAAAATAATAAACAAAAACCATCAACTAGCTACTGTGAAACAAAATAAAAGATCTGGTGAAAAATAAAGACCTGAATTTGAAAAATTTGAAGGTCAAAGCCCATAGAACCAATAAATTTAACAATCAAATAGACTTACTTGCTAAACAAGTTAGATAGAAGAATTCAATAACCTGATATCAACTATCAGAGCCAAAAAGAGTTCTCATAATAGCTACATGAAAAGAATATACAATAAAGATTAGTATTAAAGATTTAATTAAAATATTCAATAAGAAAAAGATTGAATTAAATTGAACAATACAAAAAAGAATCTAGAATCTTTGGATCTAAAATATTAAAGTTATAGATTGATTAATCTTTTGAAATTAGTTCAATTTAACTAATACTTTTAATATCTCTTTCAAGATCAATAAAAACAAAAGCTTCCTAACTAACCTAATCTATAATAAACTTTTAGTTCTACAAATATTTAAGAAAAGGAAACTAGATATACAGTATATACTATAACTACTTGTTTAATATGCAAACTTCAAGAAAAGACATTAGGGCATCTCTTTAAGTATTTAGTTACTAGAGAAATCAGGAAAGACATATGGTAGAAAGTAATGAAAAGATCAATAAAGAAATAAAAAATAAGGAAGAAATTCAACCTATAATAAGTAACTGGATAGATAAATAGTTGAAAAAAATCTAGAAATCTGACAGTGACCTTTTCAATACTATTTGTGAATATATGAAAAAAAAATAAGATCACTTTCTTAAAGAAGTAACTCAAAGAGTAACTTAAAATCCTACCTATAATTATATAAAGTATAATCAGCAAGCTATATCAAATAATATGAGTAAACTTCAAAAAGAAGATTTGAAATAATTATTATGTCAAAGTCATAAAATAAAAAAAAAGCAAAACATTATGGAAGAAGATAAAAAAAAACAAAAGATATAAGTACAGGCCCAACATATAAATCAGATAGAATCAAAAAGTATTACTATTATCTCTGGAGAATCTAAATCTAAAAGGCATTAAAGAAAAAGAAAAAAAGTATATAGCAATTATTGAGAATGGATTTGTCAATGGTTTGATTTTTAACTGCAGATAAAACTTAAAATAATCTACCATAATAATCTGTAGGCAATAATTTTATTAATTAGAGAAGTTATCCAAATTAGTAAAAAAATAAAATATTATTCACTAAGTTGTATTTAGAGAAATATTTTTTTGATGATAAGTAAGTTAATATGTAAAAGTTATAACAATTTGTAAATATCTAACATATATACAATAAAGACATACCATGCTGATCTGATTGTGAGTTAAAAAAAAAATTTTTTTAATTAAAATAAAAAATAATAATAAAAGTTATAAAATAATCTTAAGTAAAATTAATTCTTAAGTATTTAACTATTTATATTTTAAGTTTGATTTAAAGAATTCTTTAATAATCTTATTATTTACATATAACAAATACTGGTTTACAATAGTATGAAATAAAATACAAAACAATTATAATATAAAATATTTCTTTAAATATATTATAAGTAGATACTTATATAAAAATACAAACATTAGTATATGATATTCAACTAATATTGAATATTATCAATAATAAGATTAGAATAAAATTAGCAAAAAATGAATAATTTCATTTAACGATAACTTTATTAAAATCTTTTTTTTTTTAATACAAATCAAATCATCAAAGAAAAAAGTACCTATATCTTAAAACTTATAAATTTATCACCTGATATTATTGATCACAATCTAAAAACATTATCTATAAGACAAAAGCTTAGGTATACTGTATTATATTTTCAGACTATAACAATATAATAAGAAATATTTACCATCCTGTGTTTTACTGACTTGAAATTTTTGCAACAAGTAGTATATATATAAGTCCTTTTAGATACAATATAACTAGCTTAAGTAAATATTTCTATAGAATTTGTAATATCTGCTTTAGTACAAAACATATACTAAAAGACTGTTCTATTAAAATAAAATAGTAATAAATACAGGAGACAAAAAAACACAATGCAAAGAAGTTTGAATATCTCTATATTAAGTTCAAATATCTCTATACTAAGTTCAAATTAGTGAGGAGTGAAGCAATCAAGACATTCATCACCACTTCAGATATTTATAATAAATCTTTTTTGTAGATATTAAAATACAAAAACAAAAGGAAATAACAACTAAAGATATAAGTACTAACAACAAACTAAATAATAATGCAATATTTAAAGACATTTATTCCATTTTTTATTATTTATACAGCAAAGTCAACTCTATTAAATAAGATTTGATACAAATCAACCACCATATAGAAGATTTAGAAATGGATATTCAAGACCTTTATTACATTATTGATAAGTCAAAAGAATTAGATTAAACACTTACAATATAGAAGATATCAATAATCTTAGCTTAGTTTCCAACATATCCAGGAAAAGATATATATATAGCTCACTCCAAAACATCAGGTTAGAACAAAACAAATTAACAATTCAACAATTTGAAAAACTCTTTGGCTAAAATTATAAACTAACTTGTCATAAGCATAAAAGCCTCTAAGTTTGACCTTGGAAATAATATTTCCCTTCACAGTGTCTTTGGGTAAAAACCCTCCTAGTTCACTGCATCATTGCCAACAGGTTGTATGTATCATGCTGCTCGAATGAAAATGTACTTATGTTTTCAATTGATTAATAAACTGACGATCTAGCCTGGCTACGGGTACTCGGTACTCAAAAAAAAAAAAGAACTATTAATTGAAAAATTTTTTTTGTATCTAATAATATTTACATAACTTTATTATTGAATAATAATTTAATTTTGATTATAAAGAATTTTCACTAACTTTAAATTATTATTAGTAATTCATCACGTAATAAAGAGACCAACAGATCAAGTATATACAGTAATTCCAAAAAGAACGACAGTTTCGTTTAATAATTTCAAACTAATGTTATTCCCTTTGCTTTGCACATTGCCAAGGCTTTTGGCTGACCTAATAAAGCCGCTAACCTCAGATATCGAATTCCCTTCTCCTCATCTTTTGTAGCCCCAATACCGTTGTAATATATGTTGCCTATGTTGTACAGGGCGGTACTGTTACCATTCTCTGCAGCCCATGTAAAGTACTTGATGGACTCTTTGATGTCCCTCTTCACGCTCTCTCCGGACCATAAACAATGCCCATATCGAAGTTGAGCATCTAAAAATTTAAATTGCGATTAGTTTATACGTCGATAGTGATATTTCAAATTAATTCCTACCGGCTAGTCCAGTGCCCGCGGCCTCCTTGAATAATTCGACAGCTTGTCTGACACGTTCTTGTTTCGAGCGTTGGTTCGACGGATCTTCTATCGGACATAGATCATAGTATAGATAATATCCCTTCCAATATCTGAACATGATAAGTTAATTCTTGGGGAAAGAATATATATGCAAATTAGTTATCATAAATCGTAGCGGAGTTAATAATACCTCGCTAATGTATCGCCAAATTCCGCATGTCTGCTAAATGCCTTCCAAGCTTTTAATTTGTCACCATTCTTTTTCTTATGTTCAGAGATTGCTTCCCTAACGCTCATTGTACAAATATCAAAGTCTGTCATGTCCAATGATAAGGAAAGGTCGTCATCATCATTGGGCAAATCACTAAATGCAGGAGAAATCTTTGGCGTTTGTGACGGAGATTTCTTTGGTTGGAGAGATTGATAAATACCATTCAATGTCATAAACATGTCTTTGAGCAGAGGCCTCGCATTTGGGCTATCCTGCATGGCTGCATTCATGATGTGGTTTTTAAAAACATTACTATGTGTAATGAATGCATTACTTCAGGAAATGATGTCGTCATACCCTGATGTGCAATTCTCGACCATTCTAAGGGGACGCCTAAGCTGAATGTGGGTCTTACCCTTTGTTCGACGACCAAATTGCGAATTTGAACAATGTCATAATATTCATGAAAAGGCAGCTTTTCTTCTGCAATCTCCCACAGAAGCATTCCAAAGCTATCGTAGATTCCATAGGACATTAACAATAGAAACCAAAGTGCTACTTATTGCCAAAGATCGGAATTAAGAATACCTATAAATCTCGCATTTAACAGTGTATGGATTATTCGCATGATCCCTTAATTTCTCGGGGGCCATCCATCTAACAGTATTTACAGTTGGTGCTACATTTTTAGTCGGGTCTGTAATATGCCGACTTAAATTGAAATTGGCGATCTTCGCTTGTTGATGTTGAGTTATCAGAATATTCTCAGAACGGATGTCATGATGGAGTATGGAAACGGCGTGCAGAAAAGTCAACCCTCGAGAAACGTCGACAGCGATTTGGGATTTTTGACGCCACGTGAGCGGCTTTTTATAAAATTCCTGTAAGTTTCCATTTTCGCACCATTCCATCACCATATACATCGTCTCATGGTCATTAACAAATCCATAAAATCTGACAATGTACTGCGATTCCTTGAGCTTTTTAAGGATAGCGACTTGACTGAGAATATCGTTAAGATACTTCTTTTCTTCCTGCCCGAAAACTCTTTTTTTAATTGCTATCTCCTCTCCTTTGCGAATCTTCTTGCAAATGTTTGTGCCTCGTCTTACATGATCTGGAGGGTCATGGATCTCTGAAATTGGGATAGTGGCTGCCGCAAGTATTTCTTCATTGTTTGAAAGTAATCTATTTTGCCAAGCAATATTCCATTGCGTGATATCATCCAATTTAGCGTTTATTCCAGATACTTGATCCGCTATACCACCTTCAATTTCCGAAAGGTACTATGAAGTTTTGTAATCGCTAAATATATGGTATGGGAGTCATAATTCTTTCGATAATAAAGAATAATATTCTAGATACCTTGGTCATTTCTGAAATATCTTGCTCAAGAATCTTTCGGTCCTCCTCCATCTGAATTGAACTTTGAACGGCCATCGAAAAATTCAAAACTCTCATCAATCCATCGAATTCCTCGGTTATGTCTTTAAATTCTTGTTCAATAGAATTGGCCAACAGAAATTTCCTTAGTCCTTTAATCTGCGAAACTTCTTTGATGAATCTTTTAATATTTCCGACCGTCAACAAAAGTTTTTGAAAATTCTTATAATACTCTTTTGACCTAAAGAGTGACTCATTTTCAAGTCTTCGTATTTGTAAATCCCTGACCGCAGTTTCAGCTACCGTAGCCCGGGAAAGCAATGCACCGCATATGCGTCTGTTATGTTCGGCCACTTGATAAAGGTCAATAATTTCTTGAACTATACTTGCAATATCAACCATCAACGGAATGAAAGGAGTGATTGAATCAGTTATTATTGATGCACTTTCTGATGCCAGGGATAACAAATTGGTTGCATCCTGGACTTCAATTCTTCCGTTTGGAATACTGGCCACCGGCTCGTCACCATCCAATTCTTTCGACATTTTGTCGATTGGTGTAATAACAAGAAAATGAATATATTACTTTTCTAATGACTCTGACGCAAATCGATAGTGTATAAAACAAAGATGATGTGATTCAAATTGGTAATGTACGAGCATTCTAATGAGAAATTCCTAATATAGTAATAAATAATTTTCTTACACTTTAAGACTCTATATATTGATTATCGGGATCTGCAAATCTTGTGTAAGCATATAAAAATGAAATTTTTGATCTGTTTTTTTTTTTTTTATGAAACCCTGATATGAATAAAATAGATCAAGAAGAAAAGGCTCAAATTCAAGTTCGCTTTATTACACTACAACGGGAGTATGCTGTCACAGATTCTCCCATATTTGTACCAATTAACTTGCGTCGTTATGGTCTCTCAGAAATAATAAACCACCTTTTAGATTTTGGTTGGTACTTTTTTTTTTTTTTGTAATAATGGAAAATTGAAATATAAGTAGCACTCATTTTGTCGCTACTCAATAGAAAAACCTATTCCGTTCGATTTTATAATCAATAATCAGTTCTTGCGAACAAGTTTGTCCGAGTATCTGATAAAATTTGGAATATCGACGGTAATTTTAAAGTTTAATGCATAAGGATTTCAGAATTTGAATTAAATACATATTTTTGAATGAAGGAAAACGTTCTTACCATCGAATATGTTGAATCATTGCTCCCACCAGCCCCATTATCATCTTTTCAACACGATGATTGGATAAGTGCAGTAGAAAGTTATAACCAGAGGTTAGTATTTAAAATCGTTCTTTAAAAATACGCGTTTGCTGTATAAAATTTCAAATAAGATTAATCTATATCCCTTTCAGCTTGTTTTTGACCGGTTCGTATGACAACAATGTTCGTATATTTAACACGTCAGGAGAATGTCTGCAAACCCTTGTTGGACATTTAGCACCAATTAAAAGTGTCTCTTGGGTCTCTGTCTCAGGTAATCTAGAATTATTTTATCTGCACAATTTATATTTTAATATGTAGATATCAATGATATAGTAGCATTTCTATGCAGATGTTAATGCTGTTTGCCTATCGGCATCACAAGATCGAACTGTTCGAGCTTGGCAGGTGAATTTTTAGATCGTACGTTGAATAAATATAATGTAATAGGTTATAATAATCTATCCCTTAATGAATAGGTCTCATTAATAGACAGGGGATACAAAGTATTATACGAGTGTAAAGGACACACTGGTAGTATTGAAAGCGTTTCAGTTCATCCTTCTTGCACTGAGGTGAGGTAATGTATTTTAATACTTATTAAAAAAAAACTCTACATATATACTATGTCTAATTAATACAATTTTAGTTCGCGAGCGCATCATGGGATTCTTCGATTTTACTTTGGTCAACAGATAAGTCGAAAGAAAATGATCAAGACTTTTTTGAAATATCTTCAAAAAAAAGAAAATTAAATGTGGATATCAAAATTAAGGTGAGACTGTTTTTAAAGGTTGCACATAATCGAAGGGATATTCGAACTGTCCTTTTTTTCAACGCAGAAGCCGATCGCAACCATGCATGGCCATGTTGGTCCTGTGTCTTCTGTTATTTTTGACACAAAAGATCATAACAAAATGTATAGTGGGGGATGGGATCATTCTTTAAGGGTTTGGGATATCGAATCAAGGACCAATGTTGATACAAAGGTAATAAAAAAACTACTATAATTAGGGATTGCTCAATGCTAATACGAAAAAAAATCTATTTCATAAATAGAACTGTGATAAATCAGTACTTGATATTGCTTATTCAGAAAAATCGAGATTAATTGCATCTGGTCATTCTGATCATGTTGTTAGATTGTGGGATCCGCGTTCTGAAGGTATGATTGTTTTTCACGAATAATTGCCTTATGTCGTGATATTATTTTCTCTCACATTTTTTATGCTGTTAGACACAGCTGTTGTCAAGTTGGCGCTTGCATCTCACAAGAATTGGGTATCATGTGTTTCGTGGTCTCCAAATTCGCAGTTTATGCTTGCTAGTGGGTCATATGACAACTCTCTTAAAATATGGGATATTCGCAGCAAAACACCTTTGTATACTTTGCAACAAAACTTGAAAGAAAAAGAAAAACCTGACTGTAAGATATTTTGTGTGAATTGGGATTCCGATGTTATTTTGAGTGGCGGAGAAGACAATAAGTTGCATATCTATAGTTCCAAAAAAATTACATGAAATTGTATAGATTATAGGTTGATATTTTGCTGCTCTAAAAATTAGCATTTATCAATTTAGACTTTAATAAAGCAATTGATATTTTAATCAAAAATTATTTCATTTGATATATTATATATACTGTATAACCTGCAATCATGTTATTATAGCATGTTTTTATTGAGTCATTGAATAAATATTTATAATATTACATTGACTTGTTCATATAATGATATTATATGCCAAGCATTGAAAATGATATCAAAAAAAATTGCTCAAGTTTTTTTTTTTTTCGTTTTTTTAGCAATTTGGTTATTTGCAACATTGTTGATTGTGATTTCCATTATTTTCAAGATAAAAATATACAATATTTAAGTTACAATATATAGTTATAATATATTAAATATATGATAAAAAAATTTTTTTATATTATTATTTATATATATTTCAATTTTGTACAAAATTTAAGATTATATTATGCATTTTTCAACTACTGCTAATATAATATATAGTTATTACTAAAAACACCTTTATCAAAATTGATATTCAAATATCAAGTGTAAATAAAAAATAATTTTTTACTTCTTGTAAAATTTCTTGAATTTTTACTTGATTAATTAAATATATATTCATTATATATATTTTAATAATTATAGTAAATAGTATTTTGGTTTTTTAGAAATTGTTTTAATAAACTTATGAAATACTAATTCTTCAATAGTCATAAAAGATTATTTATTTATTAGATAAGCTTTTTTTTTATTTTTAACTTGTTATCAAGTTGACATAACTTGTTTTTATTGTAAATTAATAAAAATAATTATAAATTAAATAACTCTCATATATTAACTCACTCATCATTAAAAAATTTTTTTTTAAATATAACTTAGAAAATGATTTTTTTTTTTAGTACTTATAATCAGGTTAAATTATTAGTTTATTAATTAATTGAAAACATATATATATATATTTTTTGAGCAACATGATATATACTATAGTCAAACTATTATTCTAATCTAACTAACTCATTGTAAGCATAAAAGTCTCTAAATTCGATCTTGAAAACAATATTTTGCTCTATAATATTTTTGGATAAAAATTCTTTTAGTTCATTGCATCATTACTAGCAAGTTGTCACTACTATATATCTAACCAAACTATTGAAATATAGAAAATTACAAAAGGATAGATTGAAAAAGGGAAAGAGTGATATTTAAAAATATCTAAATAGATAACAAGAAAATAAATAAATAAAAATTAAAAAAAATATTTCCAACTTTCTCCAAAGGCCTATTTCTTAAAACCTCTTCTCAATAAGAAATACCTGATTGGGATATTTTTTCTTCTCCTGATTATCTAAGAGACTTATTCATTCTTGATCTTAATTTTCTTTCAGTATACCATCTAAAAAGACTTATTATCTAGAGAAAACCTTTATTTCCAGAACACATTTGATCCCAACATTCTTTAAGCAATAGTTTTTTATTCATTTGTGATAAATAAGTGACTTATAATAAATCTAAGTTCTTATGTAACCCAATAAAAACTAAGTTATATTGTTTCAGTATTATATCTTTCAACAGTCATGCTTAGTTAAAGGAATTTTACTAGTATATATCTTTTATTATCCAAAAGATTAGATTTTCCAACAATCCTTTTACCTTGTAATAATATAAGGTTTTGAATAGTGGTGGGGATCCTTATTAATTATGATATTCTTTAACAACTTCTAGAAAAATATATTCTTAACTGAAATCAAGGGGTTGAAGCTTAAAATGAATCAATGATCATTCAGTTTTATTGACTAATTATTATAAAAAGAAGACCTTGATTTTGAACTTTGCTTGATCAAAATGATAGAAGAGAAAGATCTCAACTTGAACAAATAGCAGCTTTTTCACCATCTAGAGACTTGTTACTTATATTTTATTAATCTCATAGAACTTGATCTGTAGATTAACTCAATTAAAGAAGTAAATAAAATCAAAGTATTAATCAATTCTTTCGATTACCAATAATATTGTCAAGATATATAGGTATAATCAATAGAAGCTTGTTTATATTTTATTACTAACATATTTTATACCAACTAATAAGATGCCAGGTAATATTGTACTATCAAAAATTTAGAATTAAACTGAGATAGGCAAAATTCCTTAAGAAAACTATAAAAACAATAGACACTTTAAGAGAGTACAAAAAAATATGTGAAAAGATGAATAATAAGTCTTTTCCTATCAACAAAACCTTTATTTCTTGTTGCTTTCAACTCTGTTAGATAACACTCTACTTATTAATTCTTTTACTTCCTAAAACCTTTTTGTTCTTATTAGAGGAAATATGTACTTGAATCTATTCAAACAATTAGAGACCCAAGTTTTTATTCAAAGTAGTTTATAAACAAATAAGGAAGGATAATAAAAATAAGTAAAGATAAACTTCAAGTTGTTTTAATGAAAATATAAAAACTTTATTAGTAAGAAAGTATAAAACTTTTTGCAAATATCTTTTTTGTATATGGTTAAAGAATCAGCAAAAAAAGTTTATTGCTATTAATTATTACAACTTAGAAAATAATATTTTGCTTCCTTTATAATTTGAATTATCTTTTAACTATAAAGTTTAATATTTACAGATTTTCATTACAAATTACCTATAGTTCTATCAATAGATTAAAAATTAAATCAATTTTTTTTTTTATATTATTCATCTTTTAATAATTTTTTTCAACTAAATAGTATCCTTGTAATGTAAATCTTTTGTATTGTTCTTATTGAGTAAATGATCTTTTCTTTTAGAGTCTATTATAATACTTACACTCTTGTTTTTTAATACTTTACCTATCTTATCATTTCATGTTATACCTAAAGTTCTTTTTTATTTAATTACAATAATATAACAGTTATTTAAAATATTTTCTATAAAACTTTTTTATATACATTAACAAAGTTTCTTTAAAGCTCTTCTCATAGTCATTGGTTTTATTTTATATTAGTTCTTAAAGTATTCTTAAATCAAATTAATTTATCTTTAATTAAGTATCCATAAATAAAATTATAAAAGCCTTGATTTTATTGTTGCAATTTCTTTTTCTTATTAAACTATATATTTTATTAATTTTTTATCTAATTTTTTTCAAATCTTTGATTTCTTAAAACTGATTACTGGATATTTAAATAAATATTCTATTGTTTTTTTTTTTAATTCTATATCTTGAACAAGTTTTTGTTAAATATATTTTAAATTTTTATCTTTTAAGTATCTAAAGTGTAAATAATTTATTGTGTATCAGATTTATTAAAAAATTCTTTTCCTTGTTGGATTTAAATAATATATAAAATATATATCGAGAGCTAAATTAACTTCTTTAAAAAATTTATCTATTTTTTTGTTAAATTCTTTTCTGTCTACTTCAATTCAATTCAATTTTTTTTTTATTTTAATCTTTGATAAAATCTCTTATTTTAATATAAATAGGTAAGTTATAATAGAAAAAATCTTCTCTAAATTTGATATATATTATTATATAATAATATTTTTTTTTTTTATCTGCTTGATTAACAAATCTATTTATTGATAAAGCTATTAGTTTTGTGAACTTTAACTTTTTTTAGTATTAAAGAAAAGTTCTTTTTCTAAATAAGACTTTTGATCTATATCGAGTAAACAATTAATTCTCTTGATACATTTTCTTAGTGTTATAAAGGAGTATATATACTTACCTAACAAAAGTATCTGACCATATAAAGATCTTTACTCTAAGGATCAAACTTTATTTGTAAATAACTTTAAATTTAATATATAAAAATACATCAAAAATTTTTTTCTATATAGTCACAAATAAAGATAGATCCCTAAAGTAGATGGTAAGGATAAAAGTAATAATGTAAGTCAGGTTGATTTTCAGTTATAAGGATATTGACTTTTGGTTATAAAAATATAAATTATATTAACTTTTAATTAAAATATATAAAATTTTAATA